ACATCTTTGGATTTGGCTTAGCTTCTTTACTATCTGATTTATTGTCTGCCAAGGAGGAACCACGTCCTCGACCCGTTCCACTGGAACCTGCTCCTGACGACATGACTCTGCGACACATAATTACATTAATAATTACACAATTAACTTCTATGAATAATCAATTTAATGACAATAGAGATAGAAGACTAAGTATTATCTTAAAAGCGAGAGCATAATTTTGGAGCATAGTTGGTATTGGTATTTCCATATATAAAATACTCTTATGGAAAACCAAGTCTGCCAATGTTTCGCTGTACAATGCATAAACTCATTGCAAAGAAAGGAAGGGAATGAATACTGATGGAATACACATCTTGCTCATGTAAATTGGTGTCACATGTGCAAAGCAAATAGAGCAAAGCAAACGAGTCTCATTGTCTCGCGAGCAAATCGGAATCACAGTCAACAGTACAAAGATACATTTTCGCCAGGCGGCAAAAACATGAACAAACTGGTAATGCACCGTGGTGGAATCAAACGCTTCCTAGGAATAGACGTTTCTCTTTCACGGGGCTACGCTTACGACAGGGTGGCGACGACGTGTATCGCGCAACAAAGAATTTCAGCCGACACAAAACAGACGATTTTCCGTTTCTCAACCTCACCTCCCCTCGCCAGCGGAAACATAAACATCGCGCGTACTTGATCGTCGCCGGATAAATATCACGTCACTCGAGCAGAGTATCTAACGCGGCGTATATTTTTAAACGGCGTCGCGTTAGCGTGGTCTAAGACCTGAGGGGAAACGTCGCCCACACGACATTGCGTATGATCGAGAGAGACGATCCCGCGGGATATGCCGAAAGAGGTTTGTTCAACGTCGTCACATTGTTGTCTCCCCAGGGCGATCCCAATAGGGGGTTCAACGCGCCCAAAATTGATTTCCCTTCACGGCGCGGACGAGCACGCGTTTTTCTCTTTCTCCTTCCTTCCTCTTCTCTCTCTCTCTCTCTATCTATCTATCTTATTCGCTCTCTTCTTCAAGTCGAATCGCCTCCTGCCTCTCGCACGAACGAGAGACGAGACTTCGACT